ATTGAATGAATAGTAAATCTACTGCTCAATGAGCTTACAGTGCTTATGCTTACAGTGTTCTGCAATTCTAGTTTTTAATCTTCTACCTGTCTGGGCATAAAAAGCATCGCAATCACAGCAATTGATTTTATAAACTACATTTCTATTAAGATCAATAAGTAAATGATCTTTATGTATTTTAATGAATTTATTCATTCTATTCAAACTGAAAAAAAAGACTTTGTAACAACTCCCATTAATATAAATTAACATAAAATAAATTTGCTAATAATTACCAGTGACTGACTCTTATTATCTGTTTTGTTATAATTTATTTTTTAATTTGTTATAACTTAAGGAATCGAATTCCAAACTTAACAGTGTTTTGTGATAGATTTATATTTTTTTAATAATAATAACTGTATATTCTATTAACAAGTATACAAATATATATAATACAATGACAACCGAAAATGACTATAACTGTTATTATAAAATTAATTGCAATTATAAAATGACTATAATTAATTTATAAACTTATAATTTAACTACAATTTATAGATATTTTTTGGCCTTGTTTTATGTATTCTATTTTTATAGTTACATTTTATATTCTCGGAAGTGACTACAAATTATATCTAATTAAATTATGGTAATTGCAATCATTTTCATGGTAATATGTAATGATTATAATTATAGTCATTTTCAGTTGTTATATTATACAATGTATACTTATTAATATAACTCTCTATACATATAATTATAATATTATTACTAACATTATAGTAGTAATAATTATTAATTATAATTAATATGTAATTATAGTTACAAATATCAAAATTTCTTTCTCAGTGTACATACGAGTATATGAAAAATAAGTAGACTGAGTATTTTGTTGTTTTAAGGGAAAGCTCCGTGAGAATAAAACGTACACGTCAAATAAAACATGATAATACCATAATAGACTTACAGTTAAATGATAGCGTAAAGAAAAAAAATTAGCGAACAGCGAGTTCACTATATAAACGAAAAAATATTTGTGTTGTATTAATATTACCAGAAATGTTCATTAATTTTTCAGTTATGACATACGGAAAAATACTTTCGAAATTATCGCCGAAGAGCACTTGTAGTCATAATTTTTGCATTTTATTCTTGCTTTCTATAATAAATCCATGTATAATAACGCTTAAAAAGAATTGTCCGAAAATGGAGAGAAACAAAATTAACGAGTATACGCCGCTCATGTATTATACATCGTCAATTAACATGCTAATTTACAGATATAGACTTATCTTAAGAATGAGTATAAGATGTTGTTGAAATAGATGCGGCTTATGTAAAAGTAGGAGCTAATAATCTAACGAACATGTAAAAGGAATAGGGTTTTCAATTTGGGTGGTCTGGCTTTGTAAGCTCTATCTCTATTTGTTGATATCCCTATGAAAGGTACAGGTAATATCAGCGATATCTGAACGGTGAACTAGGCAGAAGTCTCTTTAAAATATTAGCTGGAACTTGTATCTGAACACGATCGACAAGAATTAGGCTATTAGGTTATCTTTCTTACCGATCCTAATTCGAAACTAATTTAGATAAAACATATTGAGAAAAAAGTGTTTATTTGTGACTAATTGCGCGGTAAAATAATCATGGTATACTCCATTTTATCATTAATATTACTTTTTAATGTTCGTAATAATAATTATAGTTATAGTAAACAATGATAAAAAAAAAGTAAATACGTGTAGTTCGTGTATATATATTATATATATATATATATCGTTAATTATAAATATATATATATATATATAGTTCTGTATACCAAAAAATATATAGTATTCTTAACACTGAAAACGACTATATAATTTATACCATAATTATTTCACTGTAGAATTATAATCATAAATATCAAACATTTTCTTTTAGTGCAATATTCCAAAGCTTTTATAGCTGAGTTTCATTTCTTTATAAAAGTCAAATAAAAAGAATATTTAAATATGTACATATCTGAAGATGTTTCAAGACAACAATAACAGTTTTGGATCTATAAATATGAAAAATTATTTTAAAGTTATATTCAAAGTGAATATTAACAAATTATGCATTTATTCCATTCTCTTATTGCATTTACACTCCGAATCCTTTACCTAATAATAGAAAAAAAAATTAAAACTAAGAATATGATCGAGTTATCAGATAGCACATTTAGCACAAACTACTTTCATTAGTCTTCTATCTTCTCTGCGAGACGTGTCCTCTCATCTGCAGCAATTTAAGGATCGTAATGCGACCGGCTGTCCCTCAGGATAGAAACGCTTCTCTGTATGTTTGTTTTTAGTCAACCGGTACTTAATCGCAACGGAAGAGCGAACGAAATGTCGTCTTGCATGTAGCATAGAGAAACGCAGCGTGTCTCTTAGAACGACATCGTTTCAGAAGTAGCAGAAGTTGTTCCTCGAAGAGAACAGAACGAAGCAGAACAGAGTAGAGCAGAGTAAATGCAGAGCGTCCTCGGTTTGCCAGCTCAGAGGCCTGAGGCCCATCGCGGGGCACGCATACGCGGAACCGGGCCCCGCGTATTCCGACGGTGAGGCCCACGGGCGAAAGGCGTCAGACCCCGACACGCCGCACGTATTAGAAACGAATATAAATATATCGAGAGAAGCGAGAGACAGAGAAAGAAGGAAACTCTTTGGCGAAGAGGGGAGTTCGCGCGCGTATTGGTAACGTTGGAGTTACACGCACCGACGCGGCACTCGCACGCTCGCTCGCTCATTCCTCCTACCTCGCGCGGGGCCGGCACTCGCTTGCGGGCCCCGGCTTGTCCCTCTCTCGCCGCGTGTCCCGCAGACACGGGGGCCCGCTGAGTCCCAGAGTATGCTCAGTGTCCGCTCGGCTTCAGCACGCCCCGTGCCGGTAGAACGAAGGACGATGACGCCGCCTCTCTGAAGGTTTTAAAGCGCGTTGCGTCGCGCCGCGCGTCAATCGCATTCCATCATGTTTTCCGTGATCGCGTCACACGACCAATCGTCGCGACGAACTTTCCGCGCGGGTGTCACTCGAGTTTCCCGCAATTGAAAACGGACGTGATCAACTCACGAAGGACAACGTTCAAAGGAGTGTTACGAAGAAAGGAATGACGTTTAGCGATGAAACGGATCGCTCAGTCACGAGTAATCCCTGATTATTCTGAGCAACACGCTAATCGTTCGTGACTGTCATCCGCGCATACAAGTTTCCGTTCATCTGCAATCAGGTCCTGAGAAAGATCTGAGCAAGTTTCAGATCGCATATCTCGGGTCTCCGCCGCTCGACCGACCGTGTTTGTACCGCGCGATAGGTGTCGCGTATTAAAACGTTAATCCGTGCTGTACTACCGGTTATACGTACAGATTGGTCCTCATCCCTCCGGTCTGCTTTACCCACCCTATTTCTTCTCAGCTCTCTCTCTCTCTCTCTCTCTCTCTCTCTCTCTCTCTCTCCCCCCCCCCTCTCTTCCCCCTTCTCTGTCTTTCTTTCTTCCTTTTTCTTTATCTTTTACGATTCTTCCCTCTCTCGATCCTCACCTCCTACGGCGACTACTTTCGTCAGAGCGTACTCGATCCTCTCCCTTTTCTTGTTCTCTCTTCGATCACTCCGTCCCTTGCTGCCTCTACCTCCCCCGCCGCTATCGTCTCTATTGCCCTTATTGCTCAAGACCGAGGTCGCGAGTTTGCTCGCGTTTCGCGAACGCGCGTGCCGATCGAGAGATGGTGAACGGGCGGCGCAATAAGTCCGATCCCACCGGTGGTGAGACGCTCGCGAGACGACGACGTCGATATTACACCGCGCGATCGAACCCTCCATTCTTGCGTCCACTCCGTTCGACACGCTTCTATTCTGATGGAATATCTTTGTATCGTGAGACGTCTCTATCTCGCAGTACGAAATGCCGATCGTATTTCACGAATTTTCTCATTTCCTCCCTACGTCCGTTCTGCATCGACGCGAGGAGAATGTCGTGCGTGACGTGCAGCGATAAATGCGACGCTTCTACGAACGCGAGTGTTGTTGACATATCGTGATAACAGAGAGGACTACAACGGAAAGTGTGTCGGTGAAGAAATCGGAAATGTTGTTTCCCGCGATGTCAGACTTCGTTTCGCGAAGCTACTATTGTGATAGTCGCAGCTATTATAAATACACTTGTAGAGAATTTGACTTGTAAGAAGTGAAGTCTTTGAGGAGATTAGCCACCGGACCTATTAGTTCAACTTAATCCATGATATCATGATCTATTTCTGTGGATTGGAAAAACATTCCGTGGAATAGAAGAAAAAGAACGGATTGGCAAGTCTTTGTGGCGATTGACAAGAATGCATTCGGGAAAAAGCATTATGATGAGAAAAGCTGAAGTGATAGATATCACGACGTCTTCGCAATCGATTAATGTGTATTGATCAGCTGAATTGACGTTAAGGAAAAAGTATTGATGAGAGATAAGCTGAAATGAGTATATTTCATTAGACCTTCCTCAAGAATATTCCTAATATATCACCACATCGAAAACATCGCTCGCGACGGACAAACGCCTCTTTGACGAGTCATCACTTCCAGGAAAGCCGGAAAGTCGAGCTCCAGACGCAATCAAGAGCGTATACCACGAGAGGCATTTAATACGTTTATTCCCGGCAGAAGGGTTCTACGTGGGAGCAAAAAGCCCAGTGTCTCGAGTGCCCCGAAGCGTTGTCTTATTAGCTTTTGCGAGAGAACGGGCGGCGGTGATCGCGAAAAGGGACATAATATACCGTAGAGGGGAGAAGAAAGGAGAGAGGAACCCGCCGGCGTTCCTTAGATTAGAAGGTCTCGGCCACGGCGATTATTACCGTCGGGCTGGGGTTACGCCGTGAAGCACACGTAGGAAGAAACCGCCGGTGGAAATCGATCTTAACGACCACCTCGTCCACGTCGGTTGTGGGTCCGGATGTGGTTGTCGCTGCTCACCCATCGCGTTCGCCATCCGTCGCGTAAGAAGAAGCATGTCGAGCTTGGCGCGGAGAAGACGCACGGCGGTGCTCGGTTCGAAACGATGGTGGCAAGGCGGATGTTGGGCCACCAGAAGCCACCAGGAAGCTTACTTGCGCAAGCTCTACGGCAGGAAGAACAATCAAGATGCCAGGAATAGTGGCGGTCAGAACGAGGATGTCACAGCGTGTACCACCGGTATCGATGCACCTTGGACGACGCCCGGTGTTTATGATCTACCAACCATTACCGACTCCGAGCATCATTATCTAGACGCATTTCTGAGAAATCGCGAAGACGGCGAGAACGGCAACAACGACGACGTCGACGATGTCGTCGCCGTGGTAGTTGGGTGTCCGGCGTTGACGACGTCGCGCGCTAGTCCGACGGAGAAGTGCGTGGAGTTCCTGAAGGGTGCTCATCACGACAACGGAACTAATTTCGGTCGCCGTGCCGTGGAGGATGCGGAATGCGGCCGCGTAACCGATTGCGGTTCGATACATTCGGGTTACGATGCGGTCGCCGGTTGTTCCGAGTAAGTTGCCATTGTCGATAAAGAAGAGGAATGTTTTTTTCGATATTTTTCCGCGGACGGAAATTGTTGTTGAACGTGAATACTTAAGATAGTTATGTTATGAAAAATCGCTGTGAGCTGTGAAAAAATACAGAGCATTTATTTCGAAGTCTAAGTGAAAAATCTGTGCGTATGTACCTACATTGAATATGTGAAACATTTCTGGACAAAAATTTAAAAATTTTAAGTTGAATATTGTCAATTTTTTCTTGCTAAAATAAAAATTAGGAATTTTTTGTAAATTTTATATTTTACGGGAATAAAGTAATATTTTATTTTATATTTATTTTTTAAAATATAAGTTTGGTTAGAATTACAAAGTGATTTTCATGTTCAAATTACTAAGTGATTTTCAAAATAAATTAACTCTTAAACGCTATATTATGGGACACTTCAGTAAAGTATATCTAACCCATATAGACTGCTTACAACTTTCATAAAAATAAATATGTATATTGCAAAAGAATTTTTCAGTTAAAATTCCAGACATTAAGAAACAACGGTATTAAGCAAATGTATATTTTTTTATTAATAAGAAAAAAGCAATGAAAAGAAGCATTGGAAAAAGAAAGCCGGGTATGCTATATCGAGAAGACGTTTAAGGTCAATATTAAAAATCAGAAATACGTATGTTAACATAGAGTTTACTAAAAGAATGTAGACGTTACATATGCACGAGTTGCGATGGAATCAAGCGGTATCACACGCGATATGTTCTTAGAAATTTAATTTACAAGGTAGAAATTTAACGACGCGAAGATTTCGAAAAATATATAAAAATCAAATGCCATATGTGACTGAGCATTATTAGTTTGTTTTTATTATCTTGTCTACTTTCACGTAGATTTATCTAGAGCGCAATTTCCTGTTTAACGCTTAATTTATCGTCCTCGATGCAGGAAAACGACATATTTGCACAGCCCACAGCAAAACTTGTATTAATCATGAATCGTTTCTCAACTGTATGATTGAAAACATCCTCATACGAACGTTTTGATAGCTTAGTGCTCGCTGATCCAGAACATGTGGAACAGCACGTGCGATTTCTTTATATGCTCGTAGTACGAAAAATGTTAGATTGAATCGTATCGATTTATTCAAGCGAGGAATCAAATGCTGTCAGGGTTAATATGTAGTTAGGCAGTAATAATTCATCATTCTCTCGTTCTATTTTATCGTACATCATATTCAATTTCTCTCGTTACAGCGCGTCCCCAATTTTTCCTCTTATCTCTTCACATATGTGAGACACGCCAATAAGCGTAGAAGTTATCTATGGATTAAGCAGAATTTCTAGATTTTGTTGGATATATTTTGGACTTTAAGTTCTACATTCGATTCTATATTTCAGAATTCTAGGCTACCCTAAGCCAGGTAGATTTTACAGAATTTAGGTCTGTAATTAGGTAAAATTTCAGACTTTAATAATAGGAATATCCTAATTGTAGGTCTGTAATTTAATTCGAGGAAACATGAACACAATTGCACGGTTCCTCAAGGATTACTCCCGTGAGAATCCTTACATTTATCTTAAGATCTTATCTTGAGAGAGAGAGATTCATATATTATAAATTTATTATATTTAACGTATGTTTCTTCTTTTTCATTTTTTATTAGACATTGTGACATTATACAAAATATATACATAAGTATATATGCATAAGTTTCATTATTTATGTATAATGCAATATCTACATAAAGTACCTAAGTACATGTAACAATAATGTAATAAATGTTTATAATTATATACAAAGAGTTTTATTAATAAAACCAATATAATAATCATTATTTTATTTATAAATAGTGTGGTACAATTGTCCTTCTCTACTGTTACAATCGTCCCAGGGGTTGGGACGATTGTAACAGAATTTCTCATAGTCTTTTAAACAAACATAACTTTTTTTCTAGTTACATTGAAAAACTGAATAAACAAAAAATTTTGTAGCTAAATAAATTCTACATCTAAATGTATATACATTTTTAATGTAAATATTATAAACAAATATAAGAATCTTTTTACAACTGTAATTGATAAACAATAATAAGAACTATTAAATAATATTATTAGTAAATATTATATTTTAATTGTTTTTCCTTACGCGTGCACGTAATGTGTTCTATACCGCAACGCTTTTGCGTGCGGTAAATAGCCAATACCTCAAGCCGTTGAGTTATTTCTCTAACCCCACGCAAAAGCGTTACATTATGAAAAATAACGCAACGCAGTGGTAGCGCTCGTACACATATCAACACGGAGAAACGCACCGACCGCTAGCGTCCTTTCAGGGCATCTGGGGGGGGGGGGGATAAGCATAGTTTTCTCCAATAATAAAAGTAACTACGACAAAACGACAATACAGTATCTATAAATATCATTCAACTTACAATAACGTTTAAATTTAATTTCAAATTTTCAAGTATCCAAGAAAATAACTGCCTGAAATGAATCGTGAGCAACGTGAGTATTGAAATTCAGTTCTGTAAATTAATCTATATCTAATTAATATAATAGAAGAGGGGCAGCTCTTTAAGTATAAAACATAAAAATTAAAAGAAGGGCCAAGAGTCAAATGTTGACATTTAACAAAGATACTTTAATTCGAATTAATAAACATTAAAAATTAATAATAGAAACAAATATATCAACAGACGTTTCGACATCGATCGGGTCTATCAATGTTCATAAAAATTCAAAATACATATATATGTCTACAAAATTTATAAAATTAATTATATATTATTAAGTAACGCAGTCTTCATTTCATTAGGTAGTTGTATAAATTGGAATAGTCAAAAATTGAAAGTTCTTATATTAGTCAAATTAAAACGGTCAAAAGTCCGCATAAGAGAGCAATCGGTAGCTTCAGATATTATTACTACCGATTGCTCATTGGAATAATTATCACATTTTAATGTGCGTAAATATACTATTCTGAAATATGTAAGTATATAAAACAGCCATTGATTGTGTTTCTCGTCGTTTCATCAAGTAAATATTTATGATGTACTTCTTATCTGTTTTTATACAATTTATTATTAACTTAGTTAAATAAAAATGTTTATTATTAAAACTATATATACTTGATTTTAACATATAATATACCATCATGTGTTTATTAGGATCTCCTACATTTTTTAAAAATATATATTGCTTTGTCAAACTTGTCTTTCTTACTACATTCAGTGATAGATGTTAGCAGGGTTAGGTACATTTCAAATACAAGCGAAAAAAAATATGTATTTTTATTTCAATTAGGATAACCATATATGGGGAATTGGATAAGCATATTAAATCGAAACGAAGACGTAACGGAAACGTTCAAATGTAAAATGTGTAACCAAACATTTAAGAAGAAATCGAATTTAAAAATACATGAAAATATCTACAAACCAAAAGAAAACAGTTGTGATTTTTGTGGAAAAAAGTTTACGTGAGTATTTAATTGAAGAACAAAGGTTACGAAAATCATATTGTTCTTTCAAATATAATATCAATGATTAGTAGTTATAATTATCATATTAGTAGTTATTATTTAAAAAAAACTGTATTTTTATTTCAATTAGGATAACGGTATATTTTTTAGATTATTGGAAATTGGATCAGATTTAATAGAAACATAGATGACATAAATATTGAGGCAAAAAAATTTGAATACTATATATGTAAAAAAAAGTTCAAAAGTAAAAGTAATTTAAACAGACATAAAAATTCATTATTCAAAAGACTACATTTGTATATTTTGTGGAAATGAATTTACGTGAGTATTTAATTGAAGAACAAAGGTTAGGAAAATCATTGTTTTTTCAAATACAATATCAATTAAATTATGTATCGCTTCGCTCGTGCGCCCGCGTCGCACAATAAACAACTAAAACGCACTTATTACACAATGTACTAATAACACTTCAAAGTCAAAATGTTACTTTTGTTCTCGGTCTACCCTATATAATATTAATGAAAAATAATGTCGTTTTCTTATAAATATTTTTTTCTTCTTACAGAAAGGTGTGCAGAAGCTGCAGGTGCCCGCGGGAGGAGCACCAACGGGCTACGACGGAAGCGAGCGGTCCTTCGGGACTTGGCCTGGGCTCGGGTCCGCCGATGGCGATGGCCATGGCCTTCCCGAGCGGCGCCGAGGGCGCGCCTCACCAGGAGCCCTTCAAAAGCCCGGTGCAAGCTGCGCCAGCCGGCCTAGCGCTGCAGGAGGCTCTGATGCAGCATCACCAGAGGCACTCACAAAGCGACGACGACAGTGGTTGTGCGCTCGAGGAATACACGTGGGTGCCACCCGGACTGAGGCCCGACCAGGTAGGATGACAGATTTATTTTACTTTGAGATAATAAAATTCTATGAGCACACAGCGTAGTCTAAAAAATTTTTTTAAATAAACACCAATGAATGCATACGTGCAGCAGCAGTATTTCAAAAAAAATAGGTCGACGAAAGTTAAAATAATAAGATGGCTTTATTTTATCTTGTTATAATAAAATTATATAGGCACATTGTAGTCTGAAAAGGCATAAAAAATAAACACTGATGACATGCAATAACAGTACTCCAAAAAAGATCAAGGATCAAAATAATGAGGCTGACAATAAGTAAACTAGGTAAACAGATTAAACATTTTTATGAGACTTTATAGATACTTTGTAATAATAGAGATTAATTAATTCACTGTCGAGATAATAGAGAAAAAAGGAAGTGAGAACGATTTCTCAGCTGTCGCGTACGCGTGTAATGCGAGGGTGTCTCCGGTGATTCGTCTCCTCGGATACCACTGACCGCGACAGCGGTCTCCAGATCGCCGGAACGATTACCATCGTGAACGACGACGGCGCAGTGAGTCATCAGACCGCATGCCGGTGAAAGCTCTCGCTGGATATAACGATGATAAAGCGTAATCGAGGGGTTCACCCGAAAAAGGGCATGAAAGGAGAGAATGCAGAAGATACAAAATGTATTTACCATACAGTTGTACCCTTCGATCTCCTCTTTTGAGAGATTCTGTTCTCAAAAAAAAGCACGTAATGCAGTAAAAATACTCTAATTTTAAATTACAATAATTTTGTAATTGAGAACTTTATTTATGTATTGCAACAGTAGGTTAACCTGCATTTTGTTAAAAACAGAATAAATGAATTTTGAAGTTAAAATATGTAATATTGGTATTATTTTATCATTTTAACTTTAAAATTTATTTACTCCATTTTTATAAAATGTGAATTAGCCAATTATTGCAACAATTCTTCAATTATTATGATTGTGATTCAAAATCCACTATTAAAAATCTATAGTATACCTAATGCAAATTATGTAACATAAACTATAGGTTTTCAACAATGCATTTTGGAACACTGACATTTGGAACACTATAAAAAGACTATCATCATTCTTTTTTCTTCACCGATTCATCTTTAGAGTTGAGAGCACCCTCTCATATACTGAAATATGTTGTGGAATGTCAAAAACGAAATCATTTTATTTAATTAAGTGCTCGATAGGGTACAATTGGATAATTCCATGTTAGATTTCTTCCCGCCGAAGGAGCTAACTAACGCACTCGCCGTCCATTAATTGGTTTAAAGCGCGAGAGTTTCGCGTCGGCACGGCGCGGAATAGAGTCCTCTTTCTCCCTCTCGGCGATGCGTGCTGGCTTTTGCGTGCCGCGCGCCAACATCGTCGTTTATTTCGCAAGTCCGCGATGCGGTACGTGCAAATCCGCTTCTCTTTCTCCTTCTCCTCTTCTCTTCATCTTCTGCGCCTCCTCCTTCCCGCTTTTATTTCCCGCTTTTGCTCCTCGTCCTAGCGGCGTCCGTCCGCGCGTTTTCTTTACTCATTTTAAGTGTCATTACGTCTAACGCGCATTATATATTATGACTCGGCGTTCTCGGCGAGGGGACGGTAATCCCGCGCAACAAGCTTTTCGCGCTCTTAAGCCTATCCCCCCGCACGACGATGCCGTCAATTCGCGTTTTCGCGCGAAGATCTTCAGTGTATATGAAAGTACAATTCGCGCGGCAATTCGTGAAGATTTTGCGTCCATAACGAGGAACAGCAAGCAATACGTGCAATCTTTATGCGAATCAAGAGATACCGATATTTCCTTAAAGAACCTTTGATATATTTACAAAAGTCCACGTTTTGCTTTCTGAAATTTTATGTTGAATTTTGCAATATATTTCTAATGTATTTTTGTAAATATAATACGCATAATAATTTAAAGAAGAAAAAAAAGTAATATTTATTAATTTTTTTATTTTCATCGATTTATAGCTTAAAAATTACTATTAGTATTAAGTCTCGACAATAAATAAGTCTTTGATAACAAAAGGAAATTTCATTTTTCGTAGATTTACAAATATATATCCTTAAAAAATCGATTTTAAAAAATATTATGGTAAGTATATGTGTACATAAAAAATATTAATCGATAGTTTATTCTGACAATTCTCGCGAGGGAGACGCCAAGGGAAGGATACGACTGGCACAAACAAAAGGAACATATGCAAGGCCCACGCGCGCAGCGCGAAGTGTTTAATGGCATGCTCGGGACCGACGCGATGCAATTGCCACTCATAAACGGATGCGAGTTGTAACGCGTAGAAATTTACCGCTAGATTGTGTAGAAACTCGATTACGCGCAAATTCCGACGACTATCGAGCGCGCACCGTTTCACTCACCAGGATATTCTTATGGAAATACCCATGTTGACACCGAGCCCGTCACGAGACATGTACCGTCATAAGGATAAACGCACAAAATAAAACCGCGCTTGCACTTTTATCTCTGCGTGCCTTCTCTACTCCCTTTATCGTCGTGACTCCACCGCAGAGGGTTTTCGTCCCAGTAATATACCATAAATGCGCACGTCAATGTTTTTCTTCGTCTCTTTGGTATGTTGACAGTGCCTATCCCGATACTTATCTAAATTTGCGATGGTCAGAGCGAGTCTCAATGACCATCAGTTAATGTCACCTACAGTTGACACTAAATTCTTTCCCTTGTCTACATATATCATATACTACGATATCATGAAGGGACAGAAAGTCAGCGAAAGAATTATTAGTTGAAGTTTTATTGCACGGTTTCAGTTGTCAGTTAATAATCGACGATGCACTTATTTATACATATGCCATCAGTCTTCAATAATGATTTTTCTACGTATGGATAAATGAGTCCTGCAATTTTTTTACCTAGTGTTATTATATAAAACTGGAAATCAGTGTCAGGGAAATTGAAAACGGTCAGAGCAAGGGAAAAGTCAGGGAACTTAGCAAAATTTTCTGGAAAATTAAAGAAATTTTATATAATCTGAAAATTCTTAATTTAATGTTTAGTTAAAAACATATGTAAATAACTCCTTAATTTGAAAATATCAAAACAATGTCATCAAGGTCATAGGAGTCTACCGCTGGATGTTCGATTGCGAAATAATATATGATTTTTGTATTGAAATCCTCGTACTTTACTTTTAAATCATCCTCAGCAAATACAATTGGTTAATTATTCTTTCCGTCTTGGTACCCATCAAAGTAAAAATTATCCATCCACTGCAGTTGCACGACTGAGTGATGTGTAGAAATCATGCTTTATGAGCACCAAATTGACATTTACAATTTTAACTATCGATTTCATTCTAGTACAAACTGCTCTACATATACCACTCGATGTAATTAACATATTTTTAAATTATTATCAAAGTTTAACTGTTAACTGTTACAAAGAGTGATATCAACTAATTTAATATATGTAATGTTACGTCCAGAGACTTCACAATTTTTTTTTCTTTCACGGGGAACGCTATACTGTTAGAAATTTCTTAATAACTTGTAATGAACATGTAAAGGAAGCTTGGTTCAAGCCTGTTAATGAAATGTAATGAATGCTGTATATAAATATTCATTTACTGATTTCTTAAATTTTATTAACATATGTATTACTTTTTTTATATATATATTTTTATTGAATTTAACATACATGTTTATTATTTTTATTACTTGTGATTCATTGAATTTAATATAGATACAATCATGGAAGAATTTTCGCATAGAAAGTCACATGACTGTACTGTTACACGTGCAGGTTTCGACTTTCTACGCGAAGCAAGATCTACCTCACATCACTAAATGGGTTGGGTAGGTTATTTTTAACAGTAGTGGAGTCCCCCCGCAGGGGGGGCGGAACCTACTGTATCGGCACATACGACTTCTATAATTATAAGGGAAAGATGTAGAATGGTACTTATTAATATCATACATGTGTATAGCATATGTTAAAACTATGATTGTTAATAACTTTTTAACGAAGGACGAGCGACAGCTAAAATCTGATGAGGGTTACTCAGGGTCATGAACTTGACAACATATGTCAAGGTCAAAGTCATTGGAGGGAGGTACCCTGATCGAGACATTTACTATATTTTAAAATTATGATTGTTAATAACTTTTAAACGAAGGACGAGTGACGGCTAAAACCTGTTGGAGGTTACTCAGGGTCATGACTTGACAACATATGTCAAGGTCAAGGTCATCGGAGGGTGGTCCCCTTTTGTAAGTTCAACAAACATCAGAGCAAATTGGCCATTACAAAATTAACATGACAACCATAAAAAATTAAACTTAGAACATTCACACTGCAACTCTTTCAAGCACTGTGTAACCAAATTAATTTTTTGAGTTTCGTTTTGAGGCCATTTATGAAAAAATATCCTACAGGACATTTCCAAGTATCATTGATAGCAACAATCATAAAAACAAAAGCTTTTCGTGCAATATCTCTATTATGATTTAGTGAAATTCCGAAATCTACATATTCGTATACTCGTAGTATTTTTGCGCGATACCAATTCTTTTTCTGCAACTTTCTGATAATATTTAACTTATCGACAAGTGATTGTCCAATGGACCTAAGAATCTGTGGACGGGGCACTAGGCAGTTCGGGTGGTTAATCCGTGGTAAGGGGAGTGTAGCGCTATCTCTTTTTAAGATAGGACCCCATCGGGTGTTTCCGTCATACACCCGATGATTCCCGAAAGACTAGATATTCACTAACCTTAATTTTCTAATTCCATTTGCGCGTTGCATTTCTTTTTCGGAACAGTCTGATTACCACAGCCCGAAATTATACAGGTCGGCATCGTCTTTTTTCACGGGGACGCAGACGCAACCTCAAAATGCTCTTTTTCGAGTATGTATGTATCTTCGGACCGTTCGGACGTCTTCGGTTAATTTCGTTACCCAGCCGATGAGGTCTTCTTGTAGAAAGAGATGCTAAGCGGATAAAAAAGGAGAGCGCACTCACTCCCC